CAGGCCAAAAGCTCTCAACTTGAGCACCAAAAATCTAAGGCCACTCTTGTTTGTAGTATTGGTGTAGCTGTTTTGGTCTCAGGAAAAGAGAGACTCACAGGTGGGGAGGTAATTTTTTTTTGTTTTATTGGAACAACTTCTTTTGTTGAAAGAGACAAGCTTTCCAGATTCACAGAGCTCTTCATGTCTGGAGAAGGAAAACTGTGTTCAAGCTAAATACAAGGTGGGATAGATTAAGCATAAGGGGTTCACATGTTGTAGGAGACAATTTAAAAAAGTGGGCAGTTAACACCTCTGCAGTGGTAAGACAATGAAGAGTTAGTAGGCAGCAGGGTGTGTTACAAGTTGTTGCAATGGGCCATAAAACCAGTGTCTCTGTTAAATCCATGGTGTTTAGTGTCAACAGAGTTGTGAATTTAATTTCCCAGGCTTGCATCATATGCCCCAATAACAACTATGGGGTGAAACCAGACAATCACTATGATCTTTAATGAACTCACCAAAAAAAAAAAAAAAGACTAAGACACTCTGTGACCGGTTAAGGAACGCTTTTCACAAAGTGATCACTCAATATCTGACCTCTCCCAGTCCTTGTCCTCAAAGAAAACCTGCAGGACACCTTCAAAAGACCAGCCTAAGAACTTAAATTCACAACTCTACTGCACATTATAAACCATGGACTTAACAGGGACACTGGGTTTATAGCCCGCTACAGTGACTTGTGACACACTCTGCTGCCTACTAGCCATCTATTGTTTTACACTTAACCATCTGTCCCGCCTCGTATTTACCTTGAACACTCTGGTTTCCTTCTCCAGACTGAAGGAGATCTCTGTGAGGCGCGAAAGCTTGTCCCTTCCACCAGCAGAAGTTGGTCCAATAAAAGATATTCTCTTACCCACTTTGTCTGTCTGAGCCCAACTCTTTAAACTTGAAAGGCTGAACAGGACACCGTTTTTCTGGTTGTAAGAGAAAGGTGGACCTGAATTTCAGATCCACTTCCATTAACTTCAGTGCATCCTGTGGGCGCTAAGCATGCCAGAAAAAATCAGGCCACATTTAACGATCGGTGAAACTTACACTTTTTGGCCCGTCTTTAAATAAAAAACGATCGATCTGATTTATATTGATAATCTTTGTGCCAAGTTTCATTTTTATTAAAATCAAAATGGACAAAATATTAAATGAAACCCTCTACCCCTACGAAAACTACTGTGGAGGAGAATTAATGGAAACACTGACACTTAACTATAACTCTGCTTCCAGGCGCCACTATAATAATGATGTAGTAAACCTTGTCCTGATAAAAGCAGTTCTGAAAGCAACTGCATTTATTATACCTCCTGTGCTATTTCCAGAGCAGATCTGAAAAGTAGTTTGTTTTGCCTGGAATGAACTACTTCATGAATTTTAATGTACGATGTAATATTAAAAGCTAAACCAGGATTAAAGAAGTTCCCCCCCCCCCCCCAAGCTAAAACAGTACTTATGAGAATGTGTTATAAAAGATTTTTGTTTTGATTTTTTCCGGGGGGGGAGAGAGGAGATTCCATATTTGTGAAAACCTGTTCAGATTGGTTACTCCATCACCACCTTGTGCCTTGTTTAGGAAAAGTGAATGATTCCAGAACTTCTCATGACTGTAATCAATCTCATGTGATGAGATATGTATCTGGGCAGACTAGCTGGGAAGGATGACGTTTTTTCCAAATATTTTTGAAATGACTAATGTGGGGGGGAGAAGGAGGCTAGTCTTATGATATTAAACATTGTGGTAAAATATTTTTCACCCTCATCAAGTATAAGCATAATTTGGTTACCATTTAAAAACGATTAGCTGATATTTAGTGACATTAAATTGATCTTGTTTTTTTTTTTTTTTAAGTGGAAGTTGTGGATAGTTTATAAAGGCTTATTCCAAACTCTTCCCTTTCCCCAACATATCACATTTTCCTCCCAAAATGAAAATGGTTGTGCCTTTTGTTCAGGTCCAACTCCAGCACAAAAGCTTATCTCAAAAAAGAGCTGAATCTAATGAAACCTTTCTCTTCTGAATAGATTTATAGAATGTCACACTTTAAGATTAGACTAGAAGGTTGCTATATACATTATGAAATAATTTTTCTATATGAATATCCTCCAAAAGGTTAATTGACAGTGTTACTTAGTATTCATCAGACTAGAGCAGACCAATGGTCCATCTAATCCAGTCATAGTCTGCACCTGATGTTTCAAGAGAAGTTGTTAGGGAGGCGGGGGAACATTTGCACTTGACCAATTATGCAAGTTTGGAGGGGTGAGGGTTGTTGGGGGGATAAAATTTCTCTCCAGCCCCAAAGATCGATCATTTTATACCCAGAAGTGTCAGGTTTGCTTTTTCCTGACATTAATTTGGGCTAATATAATATTTTAGTTGTCTGTCAATGGATCAAGTGCTGAATAATAGAGAATAAAGTCCACTGAAGTCAATGGAAGTCTTTCCATTGACTTCAGTGGGCTTTGGAGCAGGCCCATAGTCAGTATTGTACTGCACCAACATAAAGATAGGCACCGTCTATCTGTTAGCATTAGGGTTTTCAATAGCTCCTATCACTGTAGTATTAAGCATTAATTCATGTATCCATCTACATGCTATATTTCCCTCAGGTTTTGCTGGGGGTTCTTTTGTGGCAGTACACTCCACTGATTGAGCAGTGTCTGCGGTAGTATCCTAAAGCACCAATGCACTATGTAGCCACCTTTAGAGGTGGGGGTGGCAGCCAGCGAGCACACTGCAGAACAGCAGAAATTGTGACCAAGGCCACAGGGACAAACTGGTCCTCATACAAAACATGCCATGGAAGCTTTAATGTCCATGCAGAGTAGGCAGGACATCTTTATTTTATCCCACTACCACTCCCATGAATTTTTGCATGCCTCAGAAGTATGAAGACAACCCTGACAAGATTTGAACTGACGGTGCCAGGAAATCCCAGTATTTCAGTGTAGATGCTTAGACTACAAAGCCATCCACTTTTAGCTTTCTGGTCTCAAAGTTCAATCTGATTTTTGCATGACTTGTGAGAGCTGCTTACAATAATGCATTTAACATGATCACAGTTGTAGACAGCCTTTCAGTACATTTCAAAATTATAAAGGTTAGAGAGTCCATAGTGTGCACATAACTTTACTGCATGCTACTCAGAACATACCTGTGCTCTTTCCGCCCAGTCCAAGTTCAGTGGGAATGTCTTCCAGGGAGAACAAGGCATGAGTTTTCTCATGATGCAGTGTGAGGCATAAACGTTCACGCTATTGCTTACGCTGCTCTTTGCCAGGCATCTCAGATGTTTCTTAGCAGTTATTAGCACAGCCTGATCAGCAGTTGCTTTAAAGTCAATAGGTGAAAATCATCACTGTATGCGAGGTCAACACAAGCTTGGTGTCCCACTTAACATCTCAGTCTGTCACCCTTTAGGTGCAAGTTAAATTCTAATTATAAAAATGTGCACAATATACTGTAAAGGGGTGGCTGGGATCGGGGGGTTGTTGCATTTTTAGCATATTTTCTTTTTTTCAGGTGTGCATCCATATTAATATCAGACATTGTTCATACTGGGAGGCACTCATGCCTCACACTAGAAGGCAAATACAACCACATGCCTGCTTTTCTGTTGTGGAGACTCATGATGTTTAGCAATGGCATCTCTAGTTGCAGATAATGTGCACATATTGCACTGCTGCTGAGAAGCCTCGTAGGCACATCCGCAGTGGAGCTGATATGCACTCTTAATTTATGGACCATATTTGAACATTCTCAGACTATTCTGGAGGGTGTATAGTATGGATTACCCATAAAATTGGTCCTTTTTTTGTTCAGAGGGCAAGGGGGCTACCTAAATTGCATTCCCCCTTTTATCCCAACCCTTTGATTCATCCTTTTGGGGCTCTGCAGTTGTTAAGAGCTCATGCAAAGTGGGGTTAGAGGTATAGTTATTCATCATGCCATCATCATCTCCCTTCACATCCTTGGGGAATTTAAAGCCCAAGATGTTGACTCTGGTCTTGACCCTGCAAGTTGATTCATCTGAGCAGACCCCTTGTTGCTACGTGGACCCTCGATGGGATTTTGTGGGGTCTAAAGGTCCGCTTTGCCTGCAGTTGGACGCTCCTGACCCCATAACACTATGGCCACCAGCTGGGAGAAAAGCATTACTATCATAGCTCCTAAAGGAACTATGCTGTCCTGAGGTAGCGAGGCCAGATTTTCCCCACATTTCTCCGAACATCTGCAGGTTAGAAGTGTCATCCCCCCATCGCCTGTTCTGCAGAGGGATGGTGCACACTGTGCTGTATCCTTGATGGGGTATGGCGTGGTGTGAAAAACAGCTTAGGTATACACAAGTAAAGTACAACTAATTAGCCATTATGGTAGTTGGAGAAGGCCCTCCCTATCCCCATTTCATAGATGAGTAGAGAATTTCAGTGTGCAGTGTTGTAAACTGATTTTTCATAGAAGATACAAAAATAAACAGATAAGAAAAAAACATAAGATTAAATCTAAAGTGACAACTGTATTACACTTGTATGATGCAACTGACTGTACTGGTCACCAATCAAGATAAATCTGTCTGCAGTTTGATTTCATTGGTGATCCTTTTACACTGCAGTTACAATTTTTACTTTAATTGTTGGGGGAGGGGAGACTCATTTCAGGATTTGAAAATCTCTGTGAGGCTGTTTCCAACTAACTTGTTTGATGACATTGTAATTTGTAGTGGTCAGCTGACAGACCATTTTATTTCAGGTACATTCACCTGTGATAGTATGCAGGATTTTCTTAACATCCATTTTCCTGAACTGTGGATAATGCATAATACTGAAAGGTTGAAAAGAAAGAGAATCATGAAAAGAAATATGAGTAGGACTGAGTAAAAGCATCCAAGGGAGAGAGACTCTACTTGAGGAAAAAAGTCACTCATTCATAATGAAAAATGACAATCTCATAAAATATTTTCTAGGTAAAAACAGCTACTGTTGCAACGGAGAGGAATGGAAAACCAGAAAATAATACCATGAACATTAATGCTTCCATATACGATGAGATTCAGCAGGAAATGAAGAGAGCTAAAGTGTCTCAAGCACTATTTGCAAAGGTTGCTGCAACCAAAAGCCAGGTAGGGACTCACCAGTTATCAACAACTTACATTTTATATATGATTTTTGCGGTCTTTGTGATTGATTTTCTATATGAATTCAATTATTTGTTGGGTTAGCAACATGTAGTATTACAGCTACTTAAATTTATTGCTGAGTCCTAAGGTAACTAAAAGATACCTTTTGTGTGCCAGAATTGGAAAAAAGCAGCTACCAAAGACGTTGCCCCCAACAGCAAGATAGGTTTGTTGTCTGCCCAAAGGTTAGATCCTGGAGGGCCAACACTGTCAACTTCTTAAATTCATAGTGGCTGTGAATGAGTAAATGCTCTATACTGTTGCAGTGTTGATCAGGTGACTGTAGTTTTGGCAATAACAGGTGTTATAACTAGAGAGTTCAAGGTTTTGATTTTGTGGGTGTGGCTAGTGCAGCTATTGGATCAGCTAGAGAAGTGTCAGAAGTGAGCTTTGAGGAAATAGGGACACAATGGAGCTGTATGGGCGTAGATACATTTTGTTTTGTTTGTTAAGCAAAAATAGCAAAACAATAGGGTGACCATATTTCCCAAAGAGAAAATGGGGCACCGAATGTGGCTGGCCCTAGCTGCTTGCCTGAGCCCCTCTCTCTGTGCAGGGCTGACCCGCACCACTGACCTGAGCGTTGCCTCCCTTCCCCATGCGGGGCTGGCGTCGCTGCTCCCCTGAGCCCTGCCTGCCCCCTGCACGGGGTTGGCATCTCCACTCACCCCCCACATGTTCTTCCACACCCCACTTTTTTTGACAAAAGTGGGCATTTGTCCCATTTGCTCTTGCCAACTGATCAAAAAAGAGAATGTCCCGACCAAAATGGGACATATGGCCACCCTAGAGTTTCAGAAGTCCACAATTCCAAACCAAAAGGCAAATTATTTTCTGAAATGTTATGTACAAATTTTAAAGAAATAAGGGTAACATATCTAGCCTTCATGAAACACAGTACTTACACACAAAAAGATGTGTATTCAATTTTAACCCTCTGCTATTATGTATTTTTATAAAAAGTTCTTAAAAATTAAACAAAACATCAAGTTTAGTGCAGGGAACTATGTTAATTTTATGCAAGGGAAGGAAGACCAGTGAACAAGATACTCTTGTCAGTATGAATGTCACAGATAATTGCTGCATGATGATCCTAAGTAACATGTTTTAAGGAAGCTCATCAGTGTGCTCAAAAGTGAGAATGTGCCCAAGTCTCAAGTAGAGTGCAGGGCAGTCAAATGTAAAATGGGAAAGAAGACCACATTAACACCAACACTGGAAAAACCATTGACAGAAGAAATAGAGGCACCACTAGTTACCAATTTATTTAAGTCTGCTAAATCATTAATTATTCTCTTAACTCCCCAAAACCGCTTCTGAGAGAAAGTTTCTGTCTTTCAGTGCCCATTAAGCTGGTGATAAAATGTGATCAGGTTTATGAATGTTTATGTGGACCTTCAGTGTTGTAGTGTGCATTTTTTTTTTCCTTTTAGAATTTTTAAACTTTGACTTTGGAAATATTTGCCTTTTGGACTTGTTCCATTTCATTGTAGAGAATGGATGTTCTTTTTTAAGTTATATGCTGTAAAGAATTACTTCAAGGATATCAGAATGATTAAACTCAAGCTGTGGACTGTAAATAAAAAAAAAATAGCTTTATAGGCCACATGTCTGCCTACCCTTCAAATCACTGTCAAAGTGATAATTTCTACAATAATATGTTTCTTTTATTGTGGGATTCTAAACACCAAGTGCTGTTTAAACATTAAATTGAATTGTTTATGTTAGCACTGTACTCAGTATGTCATACATCAGGCCACTATAATCTCCCATGGAATGTAAAATTCTGTCATGAATCATGGCTGGTATATCGGAAATAACTGTAATTTTGATTGGAAATTACAGGGCTCTTGAAATGTTTCTAATTATGATAGAATGTTACAGCAGCTTCAAACATTTGTGTTTCTTCAGATGTCTTTATTTACATGTCAAAACTATGTGTTAAAGAGAAATGTCCATTTTGTTCACCTCTCTACCTTCTTTGGCATTATGAGCAGAATTATGGTGCAATTCTCGTATACAGGCTCATGTGATTTTTTTTTTTATTTTATTTTATTTTATTTTTGTTACCTTTTCACATTTACATGTATTTTTGCTTAAATCTATATATTCCAAACTATTCAGGAAGGATAGCCCTTCCAATGTTTGCTTTAAAAAAATGCACATATGGCAAGAGGAAATAACAGTAGATACAAAAAAAAGTCAGCATTATTTTTATTAGCATTAGTGTAAAATAGAGATTTGTACAAAATATACCAGAGATGATAGCCCTGAACTTCTTCCCACTGTGGAGGTTGCATCTTTTTCTCAGGGGTTACTTCCCACCTGTTTCAGACTGCATAAGGGTAATTTAGATATAAAACAATCTCTCAAGACGATTCCCTTCCAGTGACAGAGTCGCAGGCTCTATCTAGCTGGACTGCCACATATGGCAAAATACTGGGTCATGGCAATAATATCCGGAGATGCACTGAGCATGCTTTGAAAGGTGGGTCTTCCCTAGTTGGTTGACTGTTAGTCATCCTGTTACACATAGCTCCATTAAAATGTGTTATCAAGCCATACCGCTTCTAGGCTTATAGCTGTATTCTGAAGCTTGCCTGACCACTATGCAAAGCAGAAAGATTTATTGAGACCGAAATCCTCCCTCATTTCTAAACAAAAAGTGATTGGTGGTGTTGGTGTGGAGCTCCATTGCTCAAGTATCACCAAGGATATTGGGTTCCATTCTTCTCTTTAGAGCTAGGACAGGATACCACTTAAAGTCCAGTGGACTGGACTGGGCAGGAACACTCTTCCCTTCTCCCATTCTACTTGCAAGTTACATATTTATTTAGTTGGGGGAGGGGGGTGTTAAATGGCCAAAGGTCAGAACTTGTTCTCTTCTCTCACCTCTTGACGCTGTACATAAGCTGGAGTAACTTCATTGTGTGAGATAGGGACTCTCAGTACAGGTGGTGAGGATCTCCTTTACATGACCTCTCCTTCTCCAAGCAGTTCCACAAAAAGGCAAGGACAATTCTTTAGTGGAGGGCCCTTTGCAACAAGCTAATTTTTCTCCTCATGAGGTTAGGTTGTTGAGTAGCAGGTATCCACAAGGCTGTGGGGCTTGTATGGCCTAGAAGACCGCAGATCTATTTCTGCTGAATAGAGCACTTGAGAACAAAGTGCCTATTAAAGGAGAAACTAAGGAAGTCTATATTTAGGCAGGGTTAAAGTAAAAACTAAATATCTATTGTACTGTATTAGGGACTCTGGAAATATAGGACCATACATGGGCCTGCCAGTTTACAAAACAGATGAAGATTGAATCCCAGTTCAGCAGAATTTATAATATAAACTAAGGCAAGAAAGTAAGGGAGCAGGGGAGAGATTAGGGTGGTAATAGTAATATCATTGCTGTTGCTTAGAGGAGTGATCTTCATTTCTTAACAGTGATTTTTGTTGATGATTTTTTTTTTTTGACTGTCCATAAGCCTCCTGAAAGAAATGGGTCTATCTGGCTTGTAAGACTAAATGATCATAGAAATTTGGGAGGGAGGTAGAGAGGGATGTATTTTTTTTCTTGTTTTTGAGGTTTTACTTCAATATCTTCTATTTATTTTAGAATTTTTTCTAGCACCCATCAATGCATTATCTAAACAGTGAATATTATATTCAGAATGTACCTTATTATTTTTTTAAAATATTCAGTGCATTTATACTGAGGGTCTAAATAGTTTAGAATTGTGGAACTCTGTCATAGCAACTTTCCTGTATTTCTTTGAATTGTAACCAACTGAAAAAAGCATATCATTTCAAAGTCAAAAACTGTTACCTTTTTATATTGTTTGGACTGGCTAATAAACTTTAAGTAGACTACCCAATAATAAAATCTGATCTAAAAGCAGAGCTTTAGAAAACACCATGCAAATATAAGAAACATTTTGAACACGCAATATATGCCTATTTGTGTTCTTTTTGTGAGGTTAACCACGTTGTTTGCTAAAATTTAAACAAAACAGCCCCAAAATAGGTCAGAACAAAACACAAAAGAAACCCCTGAATATATTTGCACTCTACATAGTACTTTTCCGATTTAATCATCTTGAGATTTTTATTAAACTTGTAATACGATAATCTGATTCAAATAATTATGAAAGCACAATTTTCAATTTCATTGTTTCAAAAAAATGTTGATTTGGGTAATAATCATTAAGGTAACATGGTTCAGTAACTGTTCATTGGTTACAATGTTTTCATGTGGGAGCCAGAGATGAAATCTTTTCTTATGGTGGCAGATGTTGAAATCTAATTTTATTCCACACAAAACCCCTTGAGAGCTCTGAGACTTAAGGTGTATGTCCAGCAAAGAGACATTAGTAGCCCTCCATGATGTTTGTTGTATTTTGAGGTGTTACATGGGCTTGCCTGAAAAGGTGTAGCCTGCACATGTTGAAGTGAAATGGGGAAGAAAACAGTCTGGTGAAAGTCAGCTCATGTTCAGAGGGGGTTTTTCGCATTCAGGAAACACACTATGAAAAACCTGAGTAACATGAGTACTGTATTTTGAGTATTGCTTTCAGTTACTGTAAATGCCTAATATATCACAATTCAATGCTGTTAGTCTGTCTAGTTCTTCCTAAATATGATGCCTTACTACTGGAAGAATAAATATAAATGGGGAGATAATGTTCTGTGGGCATTCCTTTTGAGGAACTCCCACTGAATAATAATACCTTGCTCTTGAAATTGGTGGGAGTTGAGCACTGATTTCAGTGATTTAATTTTGGAATGCAAGTAAGAGTACTGTGTGTACTTCTAAAAATCAGATATAGTCAGAGATCATTTTGACCCATTTCTTTTGCAGTATGTTATACTATGTTGCCTAATTTCCTGTCCGTCTACGTTTGTCATTCCAGTTGGTTAGGCAGTTAGCCCCTTTGAAATTGATAGGTTTGCAT